GAACAAAAAAATATAAACTCAGTAGACAGGAAAATAAAGAAAATTTCTCTGAGATCGAATGGAAGGACAGAAAGGATAGCAGTGACTATTTTGTCTAGTACAAGTCAGCGATGCGCAAGTCAAGTCATTTTTGACGTGACTTGACTTGGCCTCCGAAAAATAGACGAATGACTTCCCAAGCATGAATTCGTAAGCGAAAAAATCTAGATGCACTTGCTGGGGTATCACCCGATACTCCAGCAAAAGTATCTAGATAAAAGAGTAAAAAATATCGGGTTATCTGGATGCATCGGGTTTTACTCGATTACACGATGCAATATCCGATGCACCTAGTAAGAAATTACGGTTGATAGAAAACGATAAGAACTAGGTACATCTAGCAATTAAGCTTACGGTTCGTCTAGCTGTTTGAAAAAAAGAATCGCTAGATATAAAAAGCATTATAATTAGTTGTGAATCGAGGTGAAGAAAAAGGAAGAAAGAATATTCATGCATTCTTCTTTAGCGTGGAACGCAACAAATTTTAAAGTTGGCCGATTTGATACCTTATGCACCCGGTACTTTGCTTCCTGATGCCTTGCAAAAGTTCATGAATCAAAAATATTCATGAACCAAAAGTTGAAAGTTTCCTAGCCATCAGGAAGCAAAGGACCGGGCGCATAAGGTATCGAATCGGCCCACTGGACTCTTTTGTCTCCAGTCACTTCAAATCATATATGGGGTGAAAGTAATAAGTAAGTCAAATCTTTTTGCGAACTTTGTTTGTTTACGAAAAATTCACTGCCTCAGGTTTCAATCAAAAAATGAATTTCATCGAAATGGTATATATGTAGTCCAAACCTTGATTTCTCAAACGAAATTGTCTCTTCATTTCTACATGTGAACATACCCTCTATGAGATTTAATTTCTGGTTTACGACTCTTAAAAATAAACTGATTTAATGGAAGAAACTCTCTCCAGGCGTTTAGTTGTTTTTAAAAGTATATTAGAGTTCTGAAAATTTCTTTCTACCAAGTTAAAAATCCGTGAAATAGTCAGCAACCCTAGCATTCGTACCAATACACAGCCCTCCAAAGCCATAGCGGACAAGGGCCGACGATGTTAAACCCGTGGCTGCACCAAGTGAGGCACGTAAGCATCATTGTATCGTCCTTTAGTAGTATCGCCTTTTAGTTTTTTTTAAAGTAAATATAAGAGTGAGGAGTTTTTTCAAAGCGAAGAACACGAAAATGCATTTGATGGAGCCCTTATAGGCACGACACTTCTGGTAAAATAATATAAGCTCATTCTGCTTTTTCAGAACTCTAATATACTTTTAAAAACAACTAAACGCCTGGAGAGAGTTTCTTCCATTAAATCAGTTTATTTTTAAGAGTCGTAAACCAGAAATTAAATCTCATAGAGGGTATGTTCACACGTAGAAATGAAGAGGCAATTTCGTTTAAGAAATGAAAGTTTGGACAACATATATATCATTTCGTTGAAATTCATTTTTTGAATCAAAAAATAGTTTCAACGTTTCGATTAAAACGCAAGTCGAAAAATCAAACTTTTTCGAACATCGTCGTTTTATCGAGTTTTTAGCCCCTTCAAGCTTTTTCGATTTTTCCACACGAAAAAAAAAAGTTTAAAGTCAAAAATAAATTCAATTTTGAAATTGAATTAAAGTTTAAAGAGGGTTTAATTTTTTGAAACTTTCTTTTTGTGTCGAAAAATCGAAAAAGCTTGAAGGGGCTAAAAACTCGATAAAACGACGATGTTCGAAAAAGTTTGATTTTTCGACTTGCGTTTTTAGTCGAAACGTTGAAACTATTTTTTTCTTATTCAGAGTTAAAAGCTGAATTAAAAAATGATATTAAATCCATTTCGACGGTAAACGCCTGTCCACCATGGACATTCGAATGGACTACTGGAAAAGAAGAGCGAGTCATTTTGCTAATCTCTCTAGTTTTTTGTGTAATTGGATGGAGCCTCGATTTATAACACATTCGATGCGCCTTTAGATGGACAACAAAAGTATGTAGAACTTATTTTGAAATTCCTTTCCATTGCTGAAAAACTTCATTTTTTCTAAATTAGAGGTGAAAAAGTCAGAGTTCTACTTGTAATTCTCAGTTCTCTCCATCAGAACTCAACTTTTATGCAATAAGAATGTCATATTGGGAATCGGCATAAAACACTGAGTCAACTGATGTGTCCATTACCTCTTTCTCTTGAACTGGAAACAAAAAAGATAAAAGTGAAGTCGCAAAAAGTCAAAAAAATACGAAGTTTTTCGTTGGTAAATAAAATTAACGAACTATTTCTCAACGAAAAACTTTATATTTTACTGATTTTTTGTGACTTCACTATTTTTTTTTGTTTCTACTTCAAGCGGAAAAGCTAATGCACAAATAATAAAAAAGCAAAAAAGCAAATAAGTGTTTCGAAAATATGAATTTCATAATCAGACTAAAAGACACGCCAAAATAAATAAGAAGGATATTCGAGCGAGTAAAATAACAAAAAAAAATGGGTGGAATACTATAATGTCTCCTTTCTCTTTCTTTACCATTAATAAAAAACCCCATTAAACTTTGTTTTTCTAACAGCAGACGAAAAAAGGCGTCAATTAATGCACGACGATGGGTTTTTTTTCGTTAACTGCACAAACGAACACATATTACATGCATTCATTACGTTTTGTTATGGTAACGTTTTATTAATCGAATGGTGTAAACAAGAGAGTAGAGAGATGAGTTTCGTCAGACCTATATGCAGTTTAATCCTGAAATAGAGCTCAACAAATGCTAAAAGGACCATTATCACTTTAGTTACAAAAAAAGGAAGTTTATCAAAATTGCAAGAATGCAAGATAAGAACTGACGTTTCTTTAGAATAAGTTGAATTTTTTGTAGATTGTAAAAACGGATTTTTGTTTTCCGTATCGGATTTGTTGAAAGTCTGATAACACATCCTCAATAATGAATAATGCTAGTTAATCTTGTCGTCTCTGGTTTTTTCATAAAAATTAAAATGAGAAAAAGCGCACTGTTTTCTAGTTTGCTATTGTTCACTCATAGATTCAAAATCCTGCTTATTCTTTGGGATTAAAATTAAATTAAAATTTAAAATTTGGGATTAATATTTTATATAAAACTGATATATTATGTTAATATATCAATTTTAAAAAGGTGTCTTAATCTAACTTTTCAACATTTAGTTACACAGATTTTAAACGAGGCGACTGAAAGCATCAATATAGAGAATGCTCCAACATTATCCGCACTACTTCTTTATTATATTTATAATTTGCCCAACACTGGCAACAGCAGCACGTCCAACATTTAGTTCCATATTTCAATTGTCCAAAGGTGGATATACGGATACACGCACTGGTTTACCACTACAAACACAAATGATTAAACAAACGTTAAATTCAACAAAAAATGATTTATTGAAACAATCAAAAGCTGGGGGTGCAACAACATCATCTGCACATATGACCATCGATCAACTGAAATCGGTTCAAATAAATGCAACAACAAAACTGAATCCAACAGCATGTATTGCTTTAAATGCAATACAAGCTTTACAATCTGTTTTATGTCTATATAATAATACACAGTTATTATTAACATTTGATACAACAACCAATAGTGCTTATAGCTATCAACAATGGATAAAATTAAAAATACCATATATTAATGGTGGTAAAGAATGGAATTGCACGAATATAACAACTGGTCAGACAATGATAATTATGATGAAAATAAAAGAGAATACAATTAAATTAAATAAAAATAAAATCATAATTAATACGACAAATGAAACAAATATAAGTCCAGTTGTTTGTTTTGATAATATAACATTGAATATGACAACAGAACAAGCTCAGCCACTTCATAATGAAACAAGCACCACCACAAATACAACTACCGCTAGTACAACCAAAGCAGCAGCAACCACTACTACTACTTCGACTATAACAACAACATCAACAACAATGATAAAAGCATCAACAACACCGCTAATCAATAATCACACAATAAGAGGAAAATGTAGTTTATGGTCATCATATGATTCAGATGCAGTTTATATTTATGAACCCTATTCTAATACAATTTATAAACCTGGCCAACAGGTTCATATCAGATGGAGTTTGAATAGCCAGTTTGATACATCAATACAGATACAAATTATATTAAAGCGTGCACGATTTGGTATTGCTGAAAATATATATACATGGTATGCAGTAGCTGGACAATATTCTGCTTATGTTATAATACCATCCAATTTAATAATATCGACCGTTAATGATTATTTTTTTGATTTTTTTTGGTTTAATATCTATCATTGTTTACCGATAAGAGATTATTCACAAAGAACGTCAATTCTAGAGCGAAAGGGCAATTGAATGATTTCAGTTTTATTAGAGCAATGTGGAAATCAATGCTAGCAAGTTTTATCTATGCTAATAAGGCTTTGCATTACCTCATAAGAATCTTTTTATCATGTTGAAGATTTTTTTTTAGCAGATTTTTTGTAAGCGCATTCCACGTAAATACGATTATAGTTGTTCTTATACGTCAGATGGCTGTTTTCCATGTATAAAACACATCTACCATTCTCATCCCTCATGCATTTTAACTTTTATACTTTAAGCATATGATATAGAGGAAGTTGAAAGATTCGAGTCAAAATTCTATTCTCTGTTTGAAAACAATAATTATTAATAAACGTTCCAGAACTTTAATTAACTTTCATTATTGATAATTGTTTCTTTAGTTACAAGCGTCGATTTGTGGCCAACTTTCGTTTTCGATCGTTATATACATTTTTTTTGTGATCTAGTTCAGACTTATTTTTTATTTAGTGTTCTTTTAGTCAAGTTCTTAAGGAAAATAAAATATTAAAAACTCCAACATAACCTGACATAAGATTAAATTAAATAATGTTGTGCAGCGTTTGAATACTTACCTAAAAATTTTCATTTTCCCAATAAAAAGTGTCTCTAAATAAATTTCAACTTCTCTGATACGACTTAGGAAGGAGTTTTACGGCGAATCTCTAATTTTTTCTGGATTTAGGTTTAACTCTTCTTTGTCTAGTACATCTGTGATGCCATTAGTATTAAAGTGCATGTAAATGTAAGTAAATGTATTTGAAATGCTCTTCAGGTTTTTTCCAGAAATTACGCTTTATCTATCTTATTGTTTGAAAACCCTTTTTCTAAGTGGAGAAAACCATCCTTTCGAAATCAGCTTGCGAGCTACATCGAACCATGTAGGACACATTCAGATTTTTGTTTGAAAAAGAATTTTCTGAAAACGTTGCTTCCTTTCGACTAGTCACTTTCCCTCTATAGCGCGAATAGGAGGACAAAGAATCTCAACTTTTTCTGGACGTTTCTTAAAAACGATTCGTACCTAATGGGCAACCAAGTAATTATTTTCAAATACCAACAGCACCCTACATAGTATCAGATTACTCCTATCCAACCTCTTCATCAATATATTATCCAGGTGATACAGTTCTGATACGTTGGAGTGTAATTAATGCTAATTTTCCACCTGGTCAACAAATATTATTACATTTTAATCGCCATCGTTGGAATCCCATACCGGATGAAAAAATAGATTCTCAATCGATAAATCCATTATGGGGTTCTTGTTATTATACAATACCAACAAATTTAGAAAAACAAGCTAATGATGATAAATATTACTTCAGATTCGATTGGAGTTCTTCTTACTGGATATCGATAACTGATACGTATACAGCTGATACACAATATATATATGTCATAACAAAACCCGTATTATATCCCATTTTACCAGCAACAGCTGACAGTTTTACATTAGCTGATACGATTAAAATAACATGGAGAGCTAGAAATTTTGATTCAAATTCTGATTCAAAATTTGTTATTAAATTAAAACGTTATAGATTTTTAATATGGGATGAAGTCATATATACATTAACGGGTTCCAGTCCATCATCAGGTGTTCGTTTCGATAGTTTATCTTCAATAGTAGAACCATCTGTAGCTGACTTTTATTATTCATTTAATTGGTGTGGTTGGTGGTCGTTTGACTGTTCAGTTGATGGTAATCGTTTTACAATACCTGTACATACGAAAGGTGGATGGAATTATAATCAATTAACAGATAGAGCATTAGCACAAAAACCTATATTTCATGCTGATTGTACAACAAGTCCAAATGATATTGTTATACGTTTATGTAATGAAAAGCGCCAAATGTCATTAGATTTAACTTGTAGTAATTGTTATATGAAATATGATTATAGTCTATTAAAATTAGATTTATTTGCTAGTGGTGGACAATTAGGACAAATGGCAATTCAATTTTATTCAACAGCAACCATTAATTTAGAATTATTATTAACATCAAATTTTATTTATATTAAAACAGGTTCGATACAAATACCAACAATACCAATTCTCGGTTTTAGTTTTACAGTATTTAGTATATCGTTTAATTTGGGTTATGTCTTAGATGTGGAATTACCATATAGCATTGAATTAGCATCAAATGGGCATATATCAGCTGGTGTACAATATACATTGAATACAAGTATTAATTTACAATATTCTTTTGGATCATCAATACATGATACGTTTGTTTCATTAACACAAAAAAACTATCCTGTTCAAGGTGATTTTAAAGCTAGGTTAATTATTGAAATAGGATTAAAGCCGACATTAAGTTTAGAAGCAGTTATATTTTCAGTTGGTATAACAACCGAAGGTTATATAAGGTTGGAAAATCAATTCCAGTATCCGCCATTTTCAGCTTTGATTTCATCAGAATACAATTATAATCTAGCTAATCCATCATTATTTTATTATTCAAATCCAAGTGATGCTTGTAGTGTACAACATTTTCTACAATATCATATACAATTTGGTATTAGAAATACACGGTTAATATTTGATATTACTATTGGTTCTAATATTCTAAATTATATATCATCTCTTCGAACATATTATGAATCACAATTATTTTCAGATTCAAAAATATTTGAATTAGTTAGTGGATGTTTATTCACAGCACCCGATTCTGATTATCCACAAACAGCTACTCTCTATATCGATGTACCTTATGACTCATCAACAATGTTATCAGAATATGTTTCTACATCGATTGCTTATGACCTGTCAACAGCATTAAATATAGATCCAACACGTATATTATATAGAGAAGCAAATTCGTATTATGATCAAAATTTACGAAAACAAGTAACACAAATTAAAGCATCATTATTACCATCTGTATTAACATTAATATCAGATCCTGATGTTAAATCATTAACACAAACATTATTAACACAAGAATTAAATCCAGCATCATTATTATATTCAGGTGTATGGACAAAGTATTTGATGAAAAATTTAACTTATCAATCAAATTATGATAATGGACTAATTACAACTACAACAAAAGGTTCAAGTACAACATCAGGTAGGGTCTGCGAAGAAACATCAGGTTTGGAAAGGAAAAGAATTTGGGGTCTAAATGTGAAACTCTTCCAGAAATGACCATAGGCTAAAAGTAAATTGATGTAAACCGATGAGTCACCTTATTGCCTTCTCTTAACCAATACCTTACCTGTCGCTGCGCGGTAACTGGCAGATTTGTATTTTTTTCTACCTGTATCATTCATAGTCAAACTCATTTGAAAGAGGGGGGTACAAAAATTCCATTTTTTCATATTAGAAGGCATCCATAAATAGACTTTGATGGCTTTAGTGCATATTAGAGTTCCGGACGATATTTGTATTTTCCTCGCCTTTCAAGAGCTAGTTTTCTTTTCATATAGAACAGGTTGAGTCTAGTTTCAGAATTTGTGTCATTTGTAGTTGTATTTCGGTTGTATGTGGAAATATAAACGTTCGTTTATTGACGATGACGCAGTTCACGCCAGTTCCTTCTTAAGGATACTTCCCCCTCTTTTTTGACCCTTTTGGAAACCGAAAACACCGATGTCGGATCGGGGTGAAATTTATAACAGAGATAGAACATCGAAAAAGAAAATCGATGTATTTTTGCACAGAATTTTGGCTTTAGTGCATATTAGAGTTCTGGACGATATTTGTATTTTCCTCGCCTTTCAAGAGCTAGTTTTCTTTTCATTTAGAACAGATTTTAGTTTCAGTGTCGTTAAGACTATCTTCCAAATCTATTAAATTTTCTACGCAATTTGATCAAACCTGTGTTGATCACAACGGCTCTCAATGAACAGTAAGCGGGATCTAAACGAGAAGTTCTTTTTTATCGGATCATGAGCAATACATGGACAGATGCTGATGAATTTGGAGATTCCTTTTGACAATCATCCAGTTATTTTGCATGAAGCGATAAGCTTTTTTTGGAACGAAATTAAGAGTTTAGTTTTCAAAAAACCGCTTCGTACGCATTTCAAAAAATTTTTTCCATCAAAACTCAAAAGTAACCTACATTGAAATCGTCTCAGTTTATTCCCTGAGTATGTGATCTTTCAAATTCCCGCAGAGTGTGCATCCAGAAGAACATTAGGCAAAATCCAAAAATGATAGATTCAAACACATAGAAATTTACTATGATATGTGGACTATCCATTGCCAGAATAAATTTTGTTTCAACAACTAAGCATTGTTCGAAAACATGTAGCTCAAAATTAGCTTGAAACTACGGACCATAAGGTTGAAAAAATGTCACAAGTTCGTTTATAACGTCATCGTTTTCTTCCAATTTTCTTTTGGTCCTATCTAGTTACTACTACTCATTTCTTATGTTAAGGGTACACCCAAACTTTTTTGAAATGCGTACGAAGCG